GGGTTATTCTCCTCCCTTTACCTAGAATGTTTACCACACATATCCTCCACTACATTAGGTCATCCGAATCGAGAGAAGTATACTGTATTGCTGAAAATTTATCATATTAATTTAAAACAAATCTGAAATCTGATTTATTGGTTATGAATTAATTATAATGAGAGAGTCACTACAGTATAACTGATTGAACTGTGCTGCCTTCATTTAATACAAGCACGAAGCTACCTCAAGAAACTCAACATTTTGAGAGTAAAAGCCTGCATGATTACATCACACGTGGGTGCGAGTATTGGGCGATTTGGAACCGTCCATTTTCCAGTTGGGTATAAATATTTTTAGTATGATTATACGCATGTAAAATTCTGAAAATGACATGTATTATACATTATATATATATTACAATACTTGGGTATGTATTAAACTATTATCATCATTGCTGAAAATGACATGCATTATATAATATATATATATATATATATATATATATATATTACTTGGAGTATGTATTTCACTATCTTATACGCATGTTGTAAGAGAAATTTTCACCGGGTAGACAATGGACTTGTTTCTTCGGGGATCCCACCTATTTTCAGTATAAAAAACGATTTTTGCATGAAATCCACATAAATTCAATTAATAAATGTTGTTTCATCAAATGTACATGTTTAAGCTTGATTTCATTCAACATAAAGTCTTCCCATGTGTTTTGTTTGCATTTCAACGTGCACCTTAATAAAATCAACCTATTGGTACTTGTGCTTCATAGAGTTACTAGTCTTAAGCAACGTTCACATCAAGCGCGGATTCCGGTCCAGAGTCTGGAGAAAAATCGTGAAAAATGGATTCAGTGGTAAAGAATGGACCGTTACATCAAATTTGTACAATTTCCAATCCGGACTCCGGATCCAGAGCCATTTGTATCGTGAAATTGTACCTTTTTTTTCCATTAGACCAATCAGCAACAAGCTTGCTTGGTTCAAACCAATCGTGTTCCGTGCACGATACTTTTTTCAAAATGTTCGATTTTAACAGCGATATTATCATGAAATGTGTAAACTGTTTCTTTTTCTTTAGTCCCAAAACCAGGCCCAGCCAAGAGGTCTACTAAACACTGTTAACTACTGATTTTAATCCTTGGTAGATCTGGGGTGTTACGCAACACCCGGTGTTTTTAAGCCAAACTCTGGGTGTATTGGCGAAAAGGCTCAGTGTAGCTATACACATAAGGATGAGAAAAAGCATGCAATCGATTCAGTGTTCACGACAAATAACTGTTTATTGCGGTGCACTTTTTAACAGCAACACATTAAACGGTTATTTATCATTGACTTCATGACCTAGAGCGAGAAAAAAAGTGGCAAGACAAATCGACATCAGTAATACAGCATTGCTGATAATATTCTGAAACATGTTGTTTCTTTTTTCACGCACAAGAATTAAAAAAAATAACTGGTATTTTTCCAAATTGAACAGAAACAGACGATGCCACATGCATGTAATTGGATTTATATAGCATTTTATACCTAATTCTCAAATTAATCCAGGTGTTGACTTATTTATTATAGAAACCATAATTTGTTACTGTATTTTCCTTTATATATTTTTTAGGGTTACCGTGTTTTCAATACCTGGATGGGTGACCCATCAAAAATGATTCTGCTTGGAGCAATTTTGAACACAATCAAAGAGGAAAACTTGCTTGAAAATGTGAAAGAAACTGGAAAAATTCTGAATGATGGTCTGGTTCAATTACAGGTATGATATGTCATAACAATCATCCTTCCCATTGTTTACAGTCTATTGTTCAATATATACATGGGTTAATGTGTGCCTCAACAACTACTGAACTTCTGTTGTTGTACGGACATTAGACAAAATACTACAGAATTTTATCATAGCCATTGACCCATAAATAAATAGGTCCAGGTCAAATGACTTCCATCTGGATCTTTGGTTACATCATTCCTAGACAACTCATATTTTGTCAGATTAATAAATTATTATGAAAACTAAGAAAACGTGACCTGTAAATCTCCATCCTGTCCCATTTGTTCGAAATTCCACAGCTGTTATTATCCTGCACATGTAATTTAAGCAACCCATGTTTTGTACTCGACAAATCATTATGTGCTACAAACATTTTGTGTTTACTACAAAGACTTGGTTACTAAAATGCATTTTACTAACTTGTGAAGTCTGATATGATAAAGATTAAGGATTACATAGTACATCAATCCTATGTCCTAAGTTGCAGTAGTCTTCCAACTGGTTGGGGCTGAGGTCTGAAATTTTATGTTTTTAAAATTTTTTAAAATTTAGAAGCCCACTTGATTCTGCCTCTGATATACTTACTGCTGGATATGAGGACATCATACACAGTACAAACAAAATCCTATTCCTCAATTTTAGTCCACTGCACTATACTTCTATTGAAATAACATTCAAATAATTAGAGTGTGAAATCTGTTTATCTTCGATACTGTTTATCCAAGCTTAAGTTTGTACTGGGTTCAAATGGCTGTAGCCTGAGGTAGATTAAGGAGTGAATTGCGAGTATGAACATGGATGAATTAGTTTCCTCTATGGTATGAATAAAGACAGTTTATTCAATTTCAAGCCCCTGGCTGGTACAGTTAGCTGGTAAAGCAACACTGAAATCAATGCATACTTATTTTTCCTTGTGCTAATTTGTATGCACAGGTAAGTTTGGCCTGTTTGATTATAATCAAATTTCAGGCCATCTAGATGTGATAATCATAAATTATATTCCCTGGACCCTTTATATGTGAAAGTCCCTCTGTGGGCCCGACTGTACAGTGTTTAGGGAAGTTATTTATGGTTATCATGTCATTAAAAAAAAATGTCCTTGTTTTTATTTGTAGGAAGCCTATCCTCATATTTTCAGCAAGGCCCGAGGTCATGGGACGTTTCTTGCGATTGACTGCACGGACGCTAATACAGCAACTCAAATATCCACACTCATGAAAACCCAAGGTAAACAAACCTCAAAAGATTTATCGAAGATGAGAGTAGCCCTGTTGATTATAGTCCACTCACTCCATTTGCCTAGCCTGAGCTCATTCCTTCATGGTGAACGCAAATAAACGAAACACAACCTCAAATAACCTGGCCAGTGATGCCTCTTAACAAAAGATTCCATATAAGGTTCCATATATTAATTTTTCTATTATTTTTTATTTGTAGGTGTGAATGTCGGCTTGTGCGGAGCAAAATCTCTGCGATTCCGTCCTGCGCTTACATTTAAACCGTTCCACGCTGACATTGTTCTGGATGCTTTCGATAAAGTTGCCAAGAAACTGTGAAGAAAATCATTAAAATACTATCTTTTTATAAGACACATTGGGTGGGGGGATGAGTGAGACACATTACTCTATTAATATTGTTGTAACATAAGTAATATAATTATAATAATAAAAGCATAAAGCTATGCAACAATAATTATAAAGTAGCAACAATACTCAGTGGGGTCATCAATCATGCTCAAGTAGTAAAAAATCACCTAATTTTGCGAGCTATGGCCCCTCACTTTCATTGATCCCCCTCCCTCATTTTAAGTCTCATACATACGTCACTGACAATACTACTAATAATGGAAATGAAGCCATGCCTACACCAATAGGGGATCAGTAAGGTTAAGTAGGTCTTCGTACTTTCCCTAACCAAAAATTTGCTTTACAAATTTAATGAGAATTGATCCTGTTATAACTATTTTTTGGAATTGAAGTGTAAATATAAAATATTGCAGTATTGATAATTACCAATAAAATAAAAAAAATAAAAACTGCAGTTACTTTATTATGTGCTTTTAAAGCAGAATAATATAAATTTGAAATTAATGCAATATGTGGCCTCAGAGAATAGATGTATTCATAGGCTGATGATGGTATGTGCCCGGCATTTCATTAGAGGTTAAGATAGCCTCTATGCCGGGGAACACTTTCCTATACTACAGTTTATCAATTATATTTATGGTGCCTACAAGTAAAGTGCCATGAGTCCCAAGTCTCCCACAATTCATGGGAGTATCCTGGAAATCAAGATTGCCTCCACCAAGCACCTCCAGGAAAATAGGCTTGTTTTTTCTATTTTTATTATTCAGTGCAGATGGACATCACTGTGTGCAGCAAAATAAAAAAAAATGTGAAAGCTTATTTAACTAGACCTTCCCGAAGTGACATATTCAAACTTGGGACCCCTGAAAGTGTCTTACAATTACAAAATATCTAAACAATATCTAAGTATCTATAGTAATTAAGGAGTTGACATGCAAGGACAAAATATAATGTATATGTTAGATATATTGATAGGAGAAAATAAACATATGTTTATCTTGTACAGTTAATATTGTTAAGAATATACAAGGGTGTAGGTTGTTTTTGGTCTCTGTGTGGGTGTGTGTATGTGAAAATTGAGAATTCTAGCCTGCCGCAATTTTCTTATATTTTAATTAAGATTTGAATAATTGATTCATTGTATTGCTAGATTTATCAAGCTTGGTTTGCATCAAAAAAATATCAGTATAAATCTTAGTATGCTGTAAATAGTTCTTCAATAAATAGACTAAAGTTAATAATTTTAACATTTTTTACAGTATACTAATTCAACTAAAGACTAGATGAAATTCTTTCAAGTATAAATCTTACCTCATAGTACTGACAGCAAACATAACAGATTTCATTCGTGAGTGCACGACAGGACAAATATACAATATTGTACTGGAAATTGAACATGCTCAAAAACAAGATTGAAAGATCCAGGCCAGATATTTTGGACAGTACATACGCTGTCTCTTATACACATCTAGATGTGTATAAGAGACAGCCAAGAAACTGTGAAGAAAATTATGAAAATACCATCTTTTTACACATAGGGTGGGGGATGAGTGATTAATATTGTTGCACCAAATTGTAACATAAGTAATAAAATTGGAAGCCAAAAGCATAAAGCTATGCAACAATGAATAAAAAGTAGCAACAAATAATCAGTGGCATATGGAAGGGTGTTGCGGTGAGCGCCCCACCCCCAAAATCATGCTCAAGTAGTAAAAAATCACCTAATTTTGCGAGCTGGGGCCCCTCACTTTCATTGATCCCCTCCCTCATTTTAAGTCTCATGGCTACTAGTGGCAAACTACTGGACCGATTTAATTAAAACTTGGTCAGTAGGACCGGTGCCGCCTCCCTTTTCTTGGGATCAAAGGTCACATAAGGGGAATTGGGGTCAAAAAACCAAAAATGGCATAGACTACTTCTCTCACAAATAACGTAGCAGTCTTGTGGTAGTTTAGGCTTACAAGTGTCACAGTTATAGGATAGCAGGGGTAGCAGGCCTAGGCTAGGCCTGGCTTCTACTATTAAAATAGTTTAGGCCTACTCTCGCTTGATGCCGCCAAATCTAGCAAAACTGCTATCCTTTTTATTTGCAATAGTACCGTACCTCTAGCCACGGTGTATAGATTATATATAAACCCATTTCTTAAAACATGGGTATATTTATATACGATGACTGTCTCTTATACACATCTAGATGTGTATAAGAGACAGATTTAACCCCTATTAATGGGATACTTATTTTTTTCTTTGCATAAAAGCAACTTCAATAGTCTCAAAATAAGAAAAAATCTTTCAAATATATATTATGAGAACAAATGAACAATAAACTTAACATCAAACCACATTTTCCCCTCTCAATCTTTATAATGGATACATACTGTATATGCCTAGTGCATGAGTTACTTTGTATAAATACAATCTTGTCAATTTTGACCATTAACCAATCGATTTTTTTTGTTTTGTGTAATTTAATATTGGACAGCCTGAACAGAACATAAGCTTTTGTAGCTTTAATAACATATCTGTTTAATACATATCATTGATTTATTTTTTGCATTGCAAATTATTATTCAACTGTTAACTCATTCTTGGGTCAAAAAAGTAAAACAAAATTTATAAAGAATCTAGCCAATGTCATCACTTTACAAAGACACACCCAAAACCCCTATTAAGGGGACACTTTTTTGGTAGTGAAGGTGTCCCTTTAATATGGGTTCTACCATATTTATTACCAATTGAAGTAGGCATAGTTTAAGCCATGTAAAATTTTAAAAATTGGTTAGCATCCTTATGTTACAATTTTCATGGTAGGGATGGAGGTTTCTTTTTTTTTCTCGCGTTGAACATGAAAAAAGAGTATCGAAAGGAAAAACATCAAAACAAAGAAGAACATCAGACACCAAAATTGCGTACAAGAAATTATGTAATTCATCTATAGCAAGCAGAAACCTTACCTACTGAATAACAGTCATAATGCGATTATCTCTATAATCATGCACAATTAACTCCAACACAACAAGCATCGTGGATGCCATGTGGCTACATAACAGAAAAACAGTAGAGCATAGAACTAATACCCACTCATTGATTTTCTGATTACATTAACAATAATATTAACAAAAAGGTAATGTCACAGCTGCTATTTTTTTAGACTTGCAAAAAGCCTTTGATACCATCAATCACAAACTGCTTTTGAGTAAACTGAAACAACATGGCATCCTTGATGGTGCCTTAGACTGGTTTGGATCCTACCTGTCAGGTAGACCACAAATTGTAAATATTAAGACATCTTTATCTGATTCAAAACCTATAAATGTTGGTGTACCTCAAGGGTCCATACTTGGCCCATTGCTTTTTATTATACAGTTATGTAAATTCCCTGCCAGAAATTGTTGATTGTAAATGTATCATGTATGCTGATGACACAGCCCTTTTATGTTCTTCCTCTGACCCTGTTCATCTTCAGTCTTTGATTGATACAAATACTAGTAAGATTGCTACATGGTTTAATACTAATTCACTAACCCTTAATGTTAAGAAATCTTAATTTATGTTATTTGGTACTAGGTTTTCTCTTGATAAGTTTATTAATATTTCTCTTTCTTAACAATTATGATGTGGAAAGAGTTAAAAGCTTCAAATATTTTGGAATTACTTTTGATTCACTTATATCATGGAAAAATCATGTTGAACAAGTTACTTCTAGACTATCACAATGTATTGGTATCATTCGTAGATTAAGATATTCCATTCCTAATTATGCTTTAAGACTGCTTGCTAATGCAACTGTACTTCCTTGTTTTGATTATTGTAGTAATGTTTGGTCAAATTGTAGCTCTGAAAATATTATCTTCAAATTCTCCAAAATAGACTTGCTAGAATCCTTCTTTATGCTGATATGTACACCCCTATTACTGAACTAATGTCCATGTTAAATTGGAAGTGTGTTCATGACAGATGGGAAAACGATAAAATTATGGTATTTAAATGTCTACAAGGGTCTGCCCCATTATATTTAACTAATCAATTCCACACAAATTAAAAATTAATTCCAAAATAATTTTCAAATTTTATTTTATTCTTTGTCTTTATTTCTACTGTATATTTCTTATCACTGTACCACTTTGAAAATCAGTACTGTAGTACTGAAAGTGCCTACAGTATAAAGAAAGATTAAATAAATAAATAAATTCATGGACACACTCCACCCCAAAAATACTAGAAGCCAATCCACAAATACATTGATAATTCCAACATGGAAAAATACTCAAGGGAAGAGAGCCTTCCGATACCGAGCATCAAATGCTCTGGAATGACCTTCCAGTTGATGTTCGTAATCATTTCCAAACTATTAAGTTGATTTTTAACCTTTTAATTTCATTGGTGCATCGTATTTTTATTGTTTTTACCTCTTTTTTCTTTCATCTGTTATTTTGTTAAATTATTTTTACTTAATCTGGACCTCTTGGGAGACCAATACATCAATTGTATTGAAATGAGCTTTCCAGAATAAAGACAAGATTTGTATTGTATTGTAAGCCACTTTTTTTTTTGTTACTCTGAGATGGCAAATTCAAGATGGTCGATGGGAAACAGCTCTACTAGTTTCTCACTTTTACTAAGTAGACACATTGAAAGAAAATAAAAGAAACACTAGGCATGATTCATACCATATGTATTTCCAACCACAAACGATCAAGAGAAGAATTTTACTGATGTGAGTTAGCCAGATTTTGGTACATTTAGTACAGTACAAAAAAATAAAAAAACATTTTTGACAATTTAGAGGTTTTAAAGGCTTATTTAATAGATTTTAATATGTAGACAATACATATATTTTTTCCCCCGCCTAACTGTGGTTTATCTCCCCGACGAGGGGGCCCTGTCCCCCCTGGCCCCTGCTGACGCCTCCTGTGGCTAGCGCATGGCTGTATACGAGTTGAGTGGCCGAGCGATAAGCCAGGGGCGCTGCTAGCTACAGCCTTAACATCGGCGCTGGTTCCAGCCGCTCCTCGCTCATGGTTCGGTTGGTAGAACCAAGTCTTCTCAAATAAGAACTTAAAATGGAGGTCCAGTGTGTACATCTGGCTCGTGTGCACTCGGAAGAGTAGGGGGTTACCCCAATGTTATGGTTCATTTAAGCCCCTGTCGTGGAATGATGTGAAGATGTATCTACCAAGAAGCGCCTCTTTACGGCTGCTAGGTAGTCATGGACCACGCCCATACGCAATTCAGCACAATGATGCTGCAAGTTATGGGTTATTCTCCTCCCTTTACCTAGAATGTTTACCACACATATCCTCCACTACATTAGGTCATCCGAATCGAGAGAAGTATACTGTATTGCTGAAAATTTATCATATTAATTTAAAACAAATCTGAAATCTGATTTATTGGTTATGAATTAATTATAATGAGAGAGTCACTACAGTATA